GAGCTTTGTCTTCATTCCTGGCTTTCAAAACCACTAGGTTGAGAAGGTCAAATGTAACTTTCATAATCTATTTAAATTTTTTATGGTAGATATTGATCTGAATTGATAAAATTGATCCCTTGCTTTTCTCCGACCATTGTTATTTTTTTCCACGAGAGGAAAGGAAGCGGGCTTTGTCTTCATTCCTGGCTTTCAAAGCCACTAGGCTGAGAAGGCCAGGTGTAACTCTCATAACCTATTGGGGTTTTTTATGGTAGATCTCGATTTGAATTGATAAAATTGACCATTGCTTCTCTCTGACCATTGCTGTCTTTTTCTTCCTCGAGAGGAAAGGATGAGGGCTTTGTCTTCATTCCTACCTTTCAAAGCCACTAGCCCGAGAAGGTATAGTGTAAATCTCATAATGCAAGTTAAAAATATAATAAATATATTTTTATAATAAATTTAAGTTAAAAATAAAAATTAATATTTAATTTTTTAATTATTTAATTAAATTTATTTATTTAATATCAAAATTAAAATTAAAATTAATTTTTATTTTTTTATATATATTTATGATAAAAAAATATTTTTAATATGTGCTATAAAAATAAAAGTTAAAAAAATTCTTTATTTATTTGAGATCAATTATATTTACTCATATAATAATATATGAAAATTTCATAAAAAATTATATAAATCAATTATCTCTATATTAAAAAAATAAAGAAAGAAAAGAAAAAAGTGGTTCATATATTACTTGAGGCTTTTTTTTATTTTTTTCTTTATTTTTTTGAGTGATATAACGATAACTTTTTTATATAATTTTTACATATTATTAAATAAGTAAATGCATTTAATATCACATGTTTTAAATAAATAAAGGAATTTTTTAATCTGTCCCTAAAGCACATATTAAAGGTAAAACCATAAGTTAAGCCCCTAAACTAACCCCAGAATTACTATTAAGCCCCTAGACTTTAATTGATACAGTTAAGTTAAGCCATTCTTCTTAAGCAATTTATTTTAAAAATTAAAGTCTAGGTTCTTAATAGCGAAAGAAGAAGGGTTTAATTGCTTTGATCCCAGAGTTCAAGGGCTTAACTGCATCAATTAAAGTCTAGGAGCTTAATAGCGATTTTGGGGTTAATTAAGGGGCTTAACTTATGGTTTTGCCCATATTAAAAGTATTTTTTATCATAAACATATATAAAAAAATTAAAATTGATATTAATTTTAGTTTTGGTGATAAATGAATAAATTTGATTGAACAATTAAAAAATTAAAGGTTAATTTTTATTTTTAACCCAAATTTATTATAAAAATATATTTATTGTATTTTTAACTTCTACCCTTAAGACATAAGCTTGACAAATCTATAAATAAAAAGAATTATTTAAATGCCATATAAAATTGTATAAAAAAATAATATAACAAAATTATTCCTAAATAATTTTTTTTTTTTCATCCAAGTGGACAAATCAAATGTCAAGTCCCTTGCCACGTGGGAGTGAGATGGCCAATTTTGCCACACAAGGCAGTCCCCCAAACCGCAATTAACGACAATTAACAGCAGTTAAGTTGGCTGTGAGAGTAAGGGTTAAATTGCTTCAATTGCAGAGTTTAGGGGCTTAAATGCTTCAATTAAAGTCTGGGGCCTTAATAGCGATTATGGAGTTAGTTCAGGGGCTTAACTTATTGTTTTGCAAAAAAAAAAACCCAATGGTTAAATAGCGGACTTGATCTCTCAATTTTCATTTTCGAATTAAACTTATCTTTAAACATAAAAAAATATTTAAAATATTTTCCAATTTTAATTTCCAGTATCCATGTGATCTTTCCATCAAGTGAAGTGACGCATGACAGGATAAAATGTCAGAAAATTACTCACTTTTTTTTTTGAATATTTAATGACACGTTAAAAACAAAGTCTTTGTTTTGATGATATGACATTTTTTTTAACTTCCACGCCATATATTTTTCTATATTTTACAACCGAACTTAATTTATTTAATTAATCAATACAGCACTTAATCATTTTAATTAATTAATACATTAAAAAATATAAAATTACCTAAATACCCCGCTTTCATCCTCTAACTCCTTCCTCCTTTCTCTCAACTACGATAATCCCCAACACTCCCCACCATGTCCAACTTTTTTCTCTCTCCCTCATGAAAACCTCCACTGTTTCTCTGCCTTCTCTGATCACTGTCGTCTTACCCTTCGTTTTCTCCAGTCACCACTTTATCCATCGTTTCCTCTCTTTCATCATTCATCATCACCGCCTCACTTTTTGTTTCCTCCTATTATTCTATAATCTCAACCAAACACTCACCTCATCCCCGATTCACCTAAATCCTTCAAAACCCAAGTGGGTTCTCATCAAGAGAACCAGATTTGGGTTCTCCATGAGCTCTAATCTTGCTGAAAGAAGGAAAATGGGAACCCAAATCCTTGAGCTCGTGAGATTCCCTAGAGGTGCCTTGAAGTAGCAGAAGAGATAAAAGCAAAACAACCAAAAACAGAGCAGAACAGAGGAAGAAAGAGGCACTTCTATTGCTCGAAATAGATGAAGATAATTACACGTTAAACTGAATAACAACTGCCTATTTATAATAGGCTAATAAAGCATAAACTCCTATTTTCTAGCCACTACAAACTGAAACTTAAAGATAAGAAAACGTGGTTATCAGCAACCACAATAATAGGACACATAAACTCCACTAACTGGGACTCATTCAAAAACAATTAGCTTGAAAATCGGGATTAACTCCAACATCCCCACCTTAATCCTGATTCGGTAGAGCAGATATTCCCATCATACTCTTCAACTTGACAAAAGCTTCATACTTCAAAGGTTTAGTGAGGATATCAGCAACTTGATTTTCGGACTTGTAGTACTTTAACTCAATCACCCTTTTGTCAATCAAGTCTCGCGAATAATGAAATCTTATGTCGATATGCTTGCTCCTTCCGTGCTGGACTGGGTTCTTTGCCAAGTTAATAGCTGAAATATTATCAACAAAGATCTTCATAGGTTCTTCAATTGGGACACGAACTTGATTCTTCAAGCTTTGCAACCATATTGCTTGACATGCACTTGAGGCTACCGCCACATACTCTACTTCACAGGTTGAAAGTGCAACAATCGACTGCTTTTTTGATGACCATGAACAAGCTGTACTGCCAAAATTAAAGCAATAACCAGTAGTGCTTTTACGATCATCTAAGTCTCCACCCCAATCACTGTCAGAATAACCTACAAGAGCACAATTGCTAGATGAAGAGTAAAATAGACCATGATCAAAAGTGCCCTTTAGGTACCTCATAATTCTCTTGGCAACTTGCAAATGAGATTGACGAGGGAACTCCATAAACTTGCTAATCAATCCAACACCATAAGAGATGTCAGGTCGTGTGCATGTGAGATACCTCAAACTCCCAACAAGTTGCTTGAAGAAAGTGGGATTAACACGTACGTCATAACCCTCCTTGAACAACTTAGTTCCAACCTCCACAGGAGTTCTTGCTGGATTGCAATTATGCATATGAAACCTCCTCAACAGTTCAGAGGCATACCTCTTTTGACAGATAAAGATCCCATCTTCTCTTTGCATCACTTCTATACCCAGAAAGTAAGACATTAAACCAAGATCCGTCATCTCGAATTCGTGCATCATAGACCTCTTGAAGTCTTCAATCATTCTGGTGCTGTTGCTTGTAAATATCAG